CTGAAACACACTGTGCCATTGGGATTTGTTTCCCGTGATGTGACTTCCTATGCATGATGTGGCTTTTCTTATTTGAAGCCGTGCCATGGGGACGCTATCGCTTTCCCTGCCAAAAGTGACTTAAGCAGGAAGCATGGTACTAGTAGCATTGGTTGTGTTCGAGGATGTGTATTCTATTCCAGGCATCTTTGGCAAGTTCTCACTTGACAGTTAGCAGTTATGTTCCTGACACGAAATGATGTGACAAAGCATTCAGCCCGTTCCATGGCCACATGCCTCACGTACCACGCGCCAGCAGCTGGTTACTGATGTTCATTGCTTGTGACATACTCACTGGCGTTCTTGGCAGACAGTCGCTCTCACTGTTTGGCTGCAACATCGGCGAACTGACTTGCCCCTGCTGTGGCTGCTCCGTTATCAAGTGGCGCATTTTGAATTGGCATTGCCTTATCAACGATGTGTTTCGTGCGCCCCTGCGTGCTCAATTTCTGTTCCATTTGTCGTCCTTCGTGCAGCTCCTGCACTGCTGCTTTAAATGAATCTTCAAGTGCTGCCCACAGAGCTTCTGGATTTGCCCCAGACAGAGTGCAGAAGAAGAAGGAGAAGAACGAAGAATGAAGAATGGAGCAAGAAGAAGAAGATGACGAGAAAACTGAAGATGAAGAAAAAAGGAAGAAGGAAGAAAGGAGAAGGAAGAAGGAAGAAGGAAGAGGAAGAGGAAGAAGAAGAAGAAGAAGAGGAAGAAGGAGAAGAAGGAGAAGAAGAAGAAGAAGACAGGGCAGTCTACAACAAAAAGGCATTTTGCTACTTGTGGCATGTTGGCTCGAAGGCAACTGCTGGAAAAATCAAGGTGTGTAAGTTGCACTCGTAAGAGTAAAACTAGCTTTTGTCTCGAAGATATGGCGAACATCCTTGGTATCACACATGTTTCCTTGGACGCATGTGACGGGAACAGAGGTGATCGCTGGACCGTGGCAGGACTCTTGCAAAAACAATGGCTGGTGGGTCAGGAACAGAATCTGTGAAAAGCGGTGCTTTGCGGAGGGTCAAGGCTATGATGTGGATTGTTCTGCAGATGGGTCGTATCGAGAGGATCATGTATGTGGCTTTGACCTGGAGTTGGCTCCCTTGCCTTTGGCAGAGCAGAACTGTGAAGAGATTGGAATGAAGATTTGTGACAGGACATTCGGGACTTGCTTGAGCCAACATCGAATACCGAGTGGCTCGAAGTAGAGTAGACATTCACTGGGGGAAATACTGAAATATGCTTACGCATGTGGAATGGATGTTCAATGTAAAGAGCAGATGCCAAAGTGCTACTCCATATTATTCTCAGAGTGGAAGTGCAAGGGTGTTCCAGGCAAAGGCATTTTCCAGTTTTACGTACAGTGTTGCATTTCAAGATCCACAAGGTGTGGCTAAACCCTGCCGTCCAGCTGATTCTCGGACAAATCATGTGCAGGTGTGGGTGTTTTTTCTCCCTTCACATTGGTCTTCAAGCAGCTGCTGGTAGTGTTGAGGTGCACCTTATCCCACATATTCTGCAAGGGAATTGAATTTAAGGGAGGGGTGTTGGCAGATGATTCACAACATTGCAATTGCAGTTTTAAATAACTCATTTGCAACGTCATGCAACGTCCATTGTGAGTCGTGACGGTCCTTTGATGGTAATTGACGATGGGGTACAGCCGTGCTGGCTGCCTTGCTTTGGGCTTTCTTACATCACCTAGGTTTTGTTGAAGCGACAGAGTTAGGATATTGCATGTATTGGCTCAGTGGATTTCAATCTGCTATAGAACGGTTGAAGTAACCGCGGCAGCCCCACAGGGTGTGTGTTTTTTTGAGGTCATCAGAGCTCCTGCAGGGGTGCAGCACGTTTGGAGCGCCCGCAAGTGAGTAGCCATGTCCTCCCCTTTGTCATGGATGCGGTGTAGGGGGTTGTTTTTAGGGTGATTTGTTGTTTTGGACTTCCGGCAGCTTCTCCTTTCATAAGTTTCATAGCTTCTAAAGACACGGCACGAAAACAGCAGAATAGATTGAATAGGCTTTTCCTGCCTGAAGCGCAATCTGACTTTTATGCATGACACCCTGCACCAGCTTTCCTTCTTTCCTGCCCTTTTGTTCTAGAGGAATCCTCGACCAAGAAAAACTTAATCATAATAAGTTCAAATTGATAATCGTTCCCCGCTGAAAGATTCTGCCCGTTCTGTAGTGGGTGCCCTGAACACAACTGAAATTCCGTTCAGCTGGACTCATACGGCTTCGAACTGCGTGTCCTTGCGTCGCAGGATGACAGAGACCAGCAAATGTGGCTACAATTCAGAGGTTGCACGGGTGTGGACTACGGAACCCTGCTCCGTGAACATCTCCGTGCATGTAGATGGCAAGGTTGCAAGCCATCACTCAGATAAGAGCGCAGTGAACCAGATTACAGTGAATTGGTACAATGGACCTCCTGATGTCAAGAACTGCCCAGATGGTTGCACATCTCTTGCTGAGTCCTGCTGGTGCCCCACACGCATTGAGATTCAAGCCGTGTTTGACCGATTGCCGACCCCCAGTGAACTCAGCGAGCTGAAAGTTGGCGCCTTCACGCCTCAAAGTTCATGCAGTGTCTGCGGGGAAGTCAATGCATTCTTCGAGGGTGAAAGTTTTGATACCAAAACAATCTTTGAGTATCAGAACAAGTTCTACCGGAACATTCGCAGTGTCGTTTTGGTTGGAGATAAATCTTTCAGAAACCCACCGGTAGTTGGGCCAGATAGTGCTTTCAGTGCGCGATCTGCCATCTTCGAGATCGAGAGTTTGCTGGAGCACTTGGTATATCATCCGAACACAGCTCCTTTCATTTCCTACCGGCTCATCCAACGTTTTGTCACCTCTAGCCCTTCGGCAGAATATGTCCAAGCGGTGGCTACAGCTTTCCGCACAGGACGCTATGGTCGCACATACTCGGGGCAGTATGGTGATTTGGGTGCCACTATAGCCGCAATTTTGCTTCACCCAGAGGCAAGGGAGATGAATGAGGGAGCATTCCGGGAGCCACTGATCAAGTTGGTGCATTTCCTCAGGGCAATGGAATTTGAAGATCCGGAGAAGAGAACCTTGCTGTTCGAAGAGGTCATAGAAAAGATTGGCCAGGAACCCTTCGCATCTCCAACTGTCTTCAACTTCTACATGCCTGACTATGAGCTGCCATCAGGGCAGGTGGCACCAGAGTTTCAAATCTTCAATTCAGCCACTGTGGTAGATTTCCTCAACGGCATGTTCTCATTGATTGATCACCAGGGAGTCACAGAATGTAAACATGGCTTGGGAGTCAAGAAAGATCGTACAACCAACTGCGAACTTCAGGATTCTTTCAAGCTACCACTGTCAGCCTCTACAGCCCTGAGTGAGTTGGATTTGCTGTTGACGGGGGGCCGCATGACAAATCACACCAAAGAAGCTGTCATGCAGCACAGCAAGAACCAGAATGACGACGTCAAGGCAGTTCAGGATGGGATCCAAAAAACCATTCTTGTGTTGCAGTTGCGGTTCCGTGCTTGGTCAATCTTTTCCCGAATGCGTAGCGAAGGGTTCTCGTTTAACTCTGGGGGTCTGGGGGTAGAGCCTTGTTCGCGACTTGTTGTTTGAGCGACTGCAGCCGTTGTCAACCGTGCGCAGCCGTTCGCAGTAGGACGCTAAGGCGCTGCCATTGGGGGAAGCTTTTGGAGAGGGTTTTGCACGGAAGCGTGACGCGTCAGTTTCGTGTGAAATAGCGAGGAAACGTGTGGAAACGTAAGATGGTAAGATGTTAAAGTGTGCTTAAATAATCTGTTTTTTTTATAACATGTTATCGATGTTAAATGATTTAATAACAAGTTATAACTGTATGTGAACTAGTTATAACAAGTTATAAGTAGGGCTTAAGTAGGGCTTAAACAGTTATAACTTGTTAAGTTAAGTAGATGTTTTAGTAAAAGCTGTTAACTTTTAGCTAACTATGTTAAGTCAATGTTGATTTTTAACTTGAGTTAGGCAGAGTTAGTAAAAATCAACTAACATATAAGTATTGAAAAATCATATTCCACATTGTAAGTTTTTTTGTTTTAGAAAATTAAAAAAGTTCTATTCTAATGTGAACTTTTCAATAAACCACCATAAGAATAATCAGCCAGCATGGCATTCAATTTTGTAAAAACATCATCAAGTGCAGTTACTTTGCCCAAGGGTGCAACATGAAGGTTGACATCCAAACAATCACAACCATTAGCTGCAATGATTGCAAAGCAATCCCAGTGCCTGCCAATTTGATTCAAGAGCATGGTGGCCGCCAATGGTTGAAGCTGAGACCTACATGCCAGCAACTCAACCAAATCATTTATGGCAAGGTTGGCAAGAATGCTTCTTTTTCCAACCACACAGGCTTCCAAGACTTCATTACCAAGAGGAACCAACTGTGGGCCAGAGGAGCTGGTGAAGACCAGCCACAAGAGACTGTCTATGAAGAAAGTGACCAGAGCACCCAGAGGACAAAGGCCAAGAAAAGAAGACTTGATGACCCAGAGGTTCTCCAAGTACCTCTGGGTGAAGCTACCATTGAGTGCTTGATGCAGGGGCAGAGGCCAACCAAGTCAGATCTGGTGATGCCATTGGAAGAGAGCCAGCTGGTGCCAATTTTTGAGCTCTTGCAAGAGGACCAAGATACTTTGAAGACAAGGAAGCCTTACCAGAAGAAGGCATCAGTTCCCAAAGACTAGCTGCCATAGAGGTAGCAAATCACCAGAGGCAATGGCTATAAAAAAATGAATTGCAGTTACTGTCAGATGCTGTGTGCCAATTTGTGGCATTCTACCATTGCTTGGCAGCCTGATGGCATTGCATCATTATGAAACCAACTTTGAAGCATTTGAATTTGGCTTCTTGTAACCCAGAATCACAAACAATAGCACCAGGTATCCACCACCATGCATTGGCTCCAGCAAAGTTGCATTGGCTCAACACACTTGCTGACCGCCATGAGTGTGGTTGACCCAGCCTGTGTGAAAGCCATAAACAATCTACTGGCATCCAAATTGCCAGTGAACCAAATGGTGGACCAGGTTGTCCACACTCTCAAAAAGCAAGGTTTGGCCTACCACTCTGTGGTCACACCAAGCCAAGTTTTGTGCCACCCCCACAACAGGGCCAACCAAATGCTTTCATGGTTGGACATGTGGGACAAAGGCCAGAAGATGATGGCCATTGGTATGAAAAGGCAATTCCTTGGAGAATCCATGGCCATAGAGATCCCACCAGACCCTGCCAAGAGGTTTGAGCAGCTGATGGCCAATGAGAACCTCATCAAGGAGGCCAATGGTGCCATGGCACCCATGACAGGTTCTGAGCGTTCTTTGGTTGCCATGACAGCTATAAGGTTTATGCTTTTTGTCAGCCTAAAGAATCACAAACAAGTAGCTGGCATTCCATGCTTCCATTGCTTCCATTTGTTCATGTCCATGCTGAGGTTTCCTCAGCTTGTCCACCAGCCACACCACAGCTTTTCTGAGGGCCATCAACCATGGTTGCCTGCCAGATGAGCAGCCTCCCATGGAAGTGCGCAAAGATGATCCATGCTGGGACCTCATCCAGAATGGGTGGTCATGGCTCATTTTGAGCCATTTGGTGGAAGGCCAATGGCCCATGCTACCCACCCTGTTGCAAGGGGCCATGAACTCTGCCAACTCCATCTCCAAGGCGCCAAATGAATTAGAGCTTGCTGCCCAGCTTGGCCACCTGTTCAGCCTCAATGTACCACTTCATGAAGCCAAGGAGAAAGTCCAAGCTGCCAATACTTGCCAGCCTGAAGTTTTGACCTACCTCAGTCATTTTGTGAAAACATTTTCAGGTGGGCCAAAATTTCCCATGTTGGATTTCCTACAAAAGTTCAGTGGCCTGGATGCAACCAAAGGCTTCACAAATACCATTTGTTTGCTCTATACCACCAACCATGAATGTTACCAATTTGGATGATTTGGGCAAGCAAAACCATTAGCTAGTTATTTGCAAATGCGACCACCATTCAAGGTAGGAATTTCAACATCCAGCTCCAAGTTGGCCAAGATGTTTTGGAAGCAATGTGCTACACCAACTTCAAGGTCACTGGTGAAATCTTTCCCATGCTTCGAGTGGCCATGTGGTGCACCATGTTGGGGACAAACAAGCACCAGGACAACATCCAAAGGATTCTCACCAAAGCCGATCTGGACAAGCTGAAGACTGCCAATGCCAAAGAGAAGGTCATCACAGCAGAACACCAGCTCCAAGGTGCTTGGCCCATTGTTGCCAAGAGTACTGTGGAGGACCAGACCCACAGCTATAAATGCTTTGGCAGACTGTGCACCAGGACCACCCTGTTTTTTGGTTGGCAAACAAAAGCACAGCAGGGAATCCAAGTCCTATGAGGATTTGGGCCAAATCTTGGAAGCCTTTACCCAAGAGATGGCCAAAACTCACACATGTGAAGCCAAGGAAGAGCTTGAAAGCCAGACACCTCAAGATGTGCTGAGTGCCAGTGCACAGGACATGGCTTTGATTCAGAACCCTCACATGAAGCCAGGTGAAGTGCACCTGGACTTGTGCAATGTAAGCTTTTGGTTGCCCATTTGCATTACACCACTAGGCAAATCACTAAATAGCCAGTCACTGGTGCATGTGCTTCCTGTTTTGGGCAGCCCAGGTACAATTGCCAGAAGGACCATCCTGGTTTGGTCTTTGAGTTCACCAATGTCAAGGACAATGCCATCACAATGGTGCACAGGCCACATCTAGGACCATTGCTCAGCATTGATGTTCCATTTGATGATCTTCCAAAGTGGAAGGTGTCCAAAGCAAAGATGCCACAGATTTGCCCAGCAGAGACTGCTGCTTCTTTGCTGCCCCACAAGGTACCCATGGCCAAAGAAGAGCTTTCCAAGTTGCAAGCAACCATGGCTTTGCATGGAGCATGTGAAAAGCACCAAGTGGATCACAACCAGATTGCTTTTGCTCAGAACCCAATGGGTCTTTGGACACTCCAAGCAATCAAAAAGGCTAAACAATTGAAGTTGGTGCCATTGGGCTCATTGGCCAAATTGAAGGGGAAGGAGCCAAGGGGGGTGCATACTCATGGAGCATGGTGGCATCAAGTGGCAAATCCACCCTTGGAAGCAATACCAAGCCTGGGGTGAAGATGCCAAGAGCCAAGAGACATTGGTGCCATTTTGGTGGTGCAAGAGTGGCAGTGAACAATGCAACATGGAGATCCATTCCATCACCATGACAACTAGCAGTGGCAATGTGAAGATCCCAGTCCTCACCAACACCGTAGCCATTGATGCCAACCAGTTGCTATTGTACCCAAAGCCTGAAGATAATGAGAACATGGGTGGAGGAGAAAGCTCCCAACCCAAAAAGAAGCTGAAAGCCACAAAGTAGCTATCCTAGTTCAAGTGCCACAGATGCCTCCAACATGTTGCAAAACATTGTGCGCAAGCTGCTGCAGCTGTGTCCATAGCAAAGCAGCCATGATGGCATTGCATCAAATGCCAAATGTTTTACAACCTTACAGGACATGTTCAGTCTGCCAAACCATGGCCCTTCAAGTATTCTCCATAGTAAAGAATTGTTCAAGGCCAATGTCTGCTTGCTGCCACTGTTGTTCAAGGAGTGCTCACAACCAGGCTGCCAAACTGACTGAGCCATGCAAGAGCCAGAAGCAGGGCAAACACCAGAAGTTCAACCAAATGCCAAGCTCATCGAAAGGAACCTGGCTTGGACAAGCCATCTGACATCCACTTGGGGATTGTACTACCAATGTGCCACCCCAGAATGCCCAGGTTGGATTTGGTGTTCCAAAATTGGGCCAGGTTTGTGGCCTAACTGTGTTCATTGTGGCAGGACATGGCAATCCACTTTGAACATTAGCCAGCCAAGCCAATGGAATGCACCAAAGTTTGGGCCTTGAAGGTTCCAAATGTGTCCAAGAACCTGGCTGACTTTCAAGCCTGGTGAAAAAAATGCACAAATGCATTGCAGCCATGGGTGTGTATCATATTTTATTAACTGTTTTCATGGCTAGCCATTGCTTTGACAGTCCATGTTGAAGCAGAGATGTTGCCACTTTGGCATTCCATCAGCCACCTTGGCAGTTCATCAGCCAAGCTCTTTACCAAGGCTTCTTGAGGTCATTGCATCTCCTGCAGCCACACTGCTACCAGCTACCAGCCAAACCGAGAGAAAGAGGTACTTCCAAGCCATGGGTGGGAACCAAAGCCAAGAAGAGCAGCCCCAGCAGCAGAGCTTGGCCCAGTGGATGTGGCAACCAGACCAAGGCCAACAGGCAGACCACTGGGAGGTTCCAACTATTGCTCCTTGGCCTGCCAACCCTGCCATGAGCGGGCAGGCTACTCCAGGTGGAGTTTACATGCCAGGGCCACCAGAAGTAATGGATCTCACTGTCTTCTTCACCAATGATAGCCCAACCTGGTACAAGCAAGTCTGTTCCAACCAGAATTGTACCAGTTGGATTTGGATTGAGAAAACCAAATCCAAGACTCACCAAGCCTGCAGGCTCTGTGGCCAACCTTGGGTGGTCTCCTTTGCCACCCACGGGCCAACCAAGTGTTTTGGCTAGTTTCACACCAGACCAACAGAGCTGGCCAAGGAAAAAAATGAATTACTCAAGTGGTCATTCAACTGTCCATTCTGGCATTTCATCAACTATGATAGTATTTCACCCATACATAGATGTATATGTATGTTTAAGATCCTGTTACATTTTAGTTAACCTATAATTTTTTTGGATACCAGCCAGTATGGTATTATATGAAGAAGCCCATTTGCCTCATAGCCAGCTTGGCATTCCATCAACAAACCAATATATATCATATGCAAATATATTGCAGTATAGCAACAAAGCAATTTATAGCCAGTTTGGCATTTTAACAACAAACCAATGTATTTCATATGCATTATTTTAACTAACCAATTTTGTTCATAGCCAGTTTGGCTTTCCATCAACACACCAATATTTTTTGTTACCATTAGGTCACCACAGCCACCAAATGCCTTTTGGTAACTAGCTGCCATCCAGGTGTTCAAGCCACTGTGTTCCAGAGCTCCAGGCCACCACAGCCACAACAGCCATGGTTGCCAAGAAGCCATCCACTGTGGTGAAGCGGCCAGCCATTGGTGCTCCAACTGAGGTGCCAAAGTTGGCACCCCATTTGGCTTTGGCATGCTCCAAGCCAGGTTGCCAGTCCTGGGTTTGGATCTGGAAGACTGGCACCATGACCAGGTGCCAGTTGTGCGGCCAGAGTTGGTTCCAGTCCTACTTGGACCATGGCTGCCAGATCAGGTCCAAGGATGAGGCCAAAGGCCACACTGTGCCCAAGGTCCCAGAGCATCCAGAGCTACCAGATGCCAACAAGGCCATGAAAGCCATGAAGACCATGCAGAAGACTGGTTCCAGCACCATGAAGGCCATGAAGGTCACCAAGACCATGAAGGCCAACAAGGCGACCAAGTCCAAGAAGACCCACCAGGACAAGGCCAAGTGAAGACCAAGGAGATGACAGCCAACCTTCTTCCACTGACAAGCTTTGGTGTGAAAAAAAAAGTGTGCGCAGATCCTGTTGCCAATCTCATAGCCAGCTTGGCATTCCATCAACAAAGCCATGTATTTCATAGCCAGTTTGGCATTTCATCAACAAAGCCATGTATTTCATAGCCAGCTTGGCTTTTCATCAACAAAGCCATTTATTTCATAGCCAGTTTGGCATTTCATCAACAAAGCAATTTATTCCATAGCCAGTTTTGCATTGTAGCATTCAACATTTTGGTGCCAACCTATCTATGTAAAGGGTAGATCATTTGTCGTATTACACTTGTTGTGCTACAGCCATAGGTTGTCATTTGTTGTTTATTTTATGAATAGAATTTCCACTAGTAGCTATCCATGGTGTATGGTTCAACTCTCTGAGGTGTCATTGTTGTAGCCATTTTAGCTATCCATACAAGCAAGGTTTCCAGAGGTTTCTAGCCATGTCAGCTACTACCATCCAGATTGACGACTATGCCATGACAGAGGAGGCCAACCAGCTGAAGTTGGTCCTGTACTTCAGTGATGGCACTAGCCAAAAGTGACTTGACCAGATGTTTTATTTATTGTTCAACTCCAATTGTATTTAAACTTTATTTTTGTTGTTTTAACCAACTCAGGTATCCAAGGCCACCACCAAATCCTGATGGTAGAATGAGATCCAAGTGGGCTGTTGTCCACAGTTTGTGCCGCACATCCATGGCCATGTACAGAGTCTACCAGGCACCAGGCCAAGAGCCAGAGGTCATTGAGTCAGCCCAACTTGCCAAACAAATCCATGAAGTTGGATACCAGGAGGCCATACCATTGGTCCACAAGTGGTTCAGCTAGACCTAGCCAGTTCCAGAAAAGATAAAACATTTGTCGCATTCAGTTGTCATTTGTTGCCATTATGGCATTTCATCAACTTACCATTTGTCAACATTTGCAGTGCATCATTGGCCATCATTGGCATTTCATCAGTGTTTTGTTTGCCATCTTTGGCATTTTATCAATGAAGTATTTATTAGGAATAACGTTTAGGCCGGTGTCTGATGTTTCGCGCCGAACCTCAAAAAGTGAAAAAGTTCACTTTTTTGAGTTCGAGAAATCAAGAAAATCGATTTTTTGGAGTTCGAGAAATCAAGAAAGTTGATTTTTTTGAATTCAAGAAATCAAGAAAATCGACTTTTTCACTTTCGGGAAATCCCCAAAAAATCAACTTTTTGGAGTTCCAGAAATCCAAAAAACTGTCGTTTTTGGAAATCAAGAAATCCAAAAAAAAAAACACACACACACACAAATCCGCCGTCCGCCGATGCTCCCCCACAGCGGCTGCGCAAATGTGCAGCTGCACTAGTGTAATCTTTTTGACTCCTGAGCGGCCCCAAACTGTACCAGGGCTGCTGTCCAGCGTAGGGGGGACTCGGGATCTCAGTCTTCGTTCTAGAGGCGGCCCCAGTAGCGATGCCAGGAGCCCCTATAGTCCCTATAGTAGCGTCTTTGCTCCTAGTAGTGATGCCTGGAGCCCCTAGTAGCGTCTTCTTCACTCTTAGTAGCGAGGCCAGGAGCCCCTAGTAGCGTGTTTGCACACACCCAAAGACACTGGATCCCGACCCCTGGATCCCAAACAAACAGACATCGTGCGGACGAGCGGGTCCACCGTGCTCTCGGCTTTTCCGGTAGCCGGTAGCCGCTAGCCGCTAGCCACTTAGTAGCATAGGGGGACTCGGCATCTCAGTGGATTCCTTGTTGTTGACGCTACTTGCTGCAGGGAACGTATGTCACAACCGCCGTCCGCCGATGCTCCCCCACACAGCGGCTGCGCAAATGTGCAGCTGCACT